AGGCACAACTGGCTGACAAATTTGGCCTACTAACTTATTCATTATTTCGTTCAAAGTATTCAGTTGTTTGACCATGTTGTCATAATGTACATTCCCATTCTGGGTAAGTCTTTCCATATTATGGATATTTCGTAGATTTACCTATTCAACGACATCTTGTGTGAGTTCTCCAAGTAATGCACGCATGGTTCGAGAACTCAACTCTGTCATTGGTTCGTAACGACTATGATTGCTCTGATTCTGTCCATCTGTTCGTGGGGAGCTATGCTGCTCTTTATATCGCTCGATCACAGACTGGACTCCTCCCTGACTTGCTGCTTCCTTATCGAATTTTTGAGGCATATTGTTTCACCTTTTGTATCTTCAACACCAAACACCAAGGTCCCACCGGGCATGCCAAATTGTTTCACGTGGGTAGTCGCTAACAATTAAAAAGGGATCAGACGATTGTGTAAGGAACAAACATCTTGAGACAAAGTCCCAAAAAGGGGTACTTTATTGGCGATGATTTTACAATTGGAACTAAACAGAATGCCTCCAAGGGGCGCAAGCACACGAGTATTGAAAAGAAATGAGTCTAAACTAAGAAATTGAAATTACATATTCTTTGTTTTAGAGTGTTTGATTCGAGGTCCTTTGCTCTATGTCTTTTCTTCCTTTTATATTCCCTTGATGATCTCTTCATGATCAATCGCTTAGAAACTGCTTAATTGCTTTATAACTGCCCACTTTCTTCATGGCGGCCAACTTATTGTGGAACTGTCGTCTCTAACTGCTGCCACTGCTTCTTTGTCGTTCAACCGTCTTCAACCGAACTCCTTGAATCGTGGAACGTGATAAGATTACTCAATAACTACTTCGATAACTGTACTTTTGAATAACCATAACATCTTATATTTGCTAAGATCCTGGGCGATTCAAAAGTTTGGGCGAAAACAGGGTCATAACTCTGGCCGACTGCAAGGCACTTCATTCGCTCAGATCTTGGGCGTCCTGCAAATTTGGGCGATGGTGTTACCGCGTTCATGGGCTTCCACTACATTTATTAATAACCATATTTGAGCCTTTATCCTCAATTGTCCAGTTGGATTTTATTTTTTGGGCTATTCGATTTGGACTGCACTTTCAGCGTGTCAACACATTCATAGCTAGTGCAGCCTTACCATATCTTAACTAGGGATGTATCTTCTAGCTAAGCTTTTAAAATTTTGGTACCTCTTTGATGTAGATTTGAAAAATGAAATTTTTAGAGAATCCGTGATTACAAAGTAAGAAAAAGTTATTGATTCACATGAAAATTATTTTATTGAAAGAATATGTGATTGAAAATGAATTTTAAAAAAAAAAATTTTAAAAATTTGTATATAACGTCGACTTGATTTTACGTTACATTACACCTACCCCACACGTAGCCAAAATTGCACATGAAAGGGAATTTGAGAAGCTGCCCAAAAAAAAAAAAAAAAAGAAGAAGTAAATAAATAATTAAATTAAAAAAAATAGCTTGATATTTGTATTCAGATTACACACACTGCACGTTGGAGCATGACATATTTAAGAAGAAAACAAAACTATAACTGGGATTCTCCGAGTAACTATGATGCACAATTCAAAAAAAGGAATCAGAAGCATCCTTTCATGTGATCTACAATTATAATTTAATCAGACCATTATTTAATTATTTTCATACTATTATTGAATTAAATAATTATTATGAATCGACTCCCACGACTTCGTTTAATGACAGTTCAACTCAAATTTTTGTTTAATTGTTAATCAATATCGGGTACACTTGCCTAAATATGAGCGGCCGTCATCCCTTGACGTCAGCGGCTCAGCTACTGGCCACCACGCTTGTCGCTTGCATTTACGGCTGTCAATATGGACGGCTGGGATCGATTGGCCCGCTGTATTTTTGGCCTCAAATTTTTTATTTATTATTCCATTATAAAATATTAAAGTTTAATCCAATGTTTATATTTAAATAATTATGTTTTCTTCAGAAAGATGATATCATCATCATCGTCATCAACTTTTCAAGCAAAATATAATTTAACTAAGAAAATACGGATTCAAAAGCCTCCTATGTATAGCCTTCACTTTGCCTTTGTTAAGGAATAAATTTTACATTAAAAATATAGTATTAATAAAAATGAAGTTAAATTGGTGTTATTGTGAGTCGATCTGATGTTCCAAAGTGAAAAAAATTGAAGGTTAAAGAATTTAAATTTTTGAGTTTTTGAGCATCCAAATGCAAAATGCAATTTACGTTGGCTTCTTTGACATTATAGAATGTATAGTACTCGATTTGTATTAATAAAGAAAAAAAGAAGTTAAAATCACGTTTACTGTGAGTTGAAATATGTTTTCTCAAACTTAATCTTAAATATTTCTTAATTCAAGATATTGGCGTATATTTAGGATTAAGTTTATTGCTTGTAATTCAAATAAAAACTATATATTACAGTTGAATCATGCTACAAGTACAAAAAAAAATTGACAGAAAATTTTAATAGACAACACATTATAGGAATTGATTGAAAGGTAGAAAGAGAATAAAGAAATCAATTCATTCATCTACGACCACGTCAGTGTATGTAAAAATTCTATTAAAATTACCTGTACTCGTATCTTTTTCCATCATAGTTTACACTTTACAGACAAGAGGGATATTGTGGTAGTGGTGGAGGCCGACAGTGATCTTGGCTTTATGTCTCCCTACAAGTTGCTTAAATTATCAATTATTTTTCATCCTAAGAGTCTGATAAGAAATGGACAATTCAAATTCAGTTTTTAGAGTTAGCTAAACAATCAAATTTAGATTTGGTTTCAAAAATATTATAGAATAATATTTCAATTATAACGTAATTTATATAAATTTTTGTGTTTAAAATAATCAACGGTTTTATCATTTAGTCCTTATTTGATGGGGTTAAAAATCATATTTTTAGTAGATTTTAATAAAAATTGATTAAATGTGTGATAGAAAAATTATAAGTCACAAAAAAAATGTGGTTGAAATTAATTATTGACTTTGACTTAAATTCTACCAAACAGCGGCTTAAAATAGAAAACTTTCATGGGCCAATAAATTTCCAAAGCGGAGATAAATTGGTTTAGGGTTAAGTGTTTGAGATAGATGAGAAGAAAGCCAACATCAATTGTAGTTTGTGAGTTTACATGCCTCTACGATCGATAAATTTACACAAGTAGAGCACTACATGGAGAAAAATTGAGTGAATGTAAATTAATTATTTTTTGAAGGTCTCTTATTATTTGACCATGTTAGAGAATAAATGGATAATCATACTCTACACTTATTTTTAAGTTTTCATTTTGGGATATATAAAAGATTCCAAATATTAGGTCGGTATATGAAGGATTGTTAGCCGTTAGGGATTGTTATATATGTACAAACTAAGAGTCTTGACATCATATTTGTAGTTTTTTTCTTCAAAATGAAAATATGTGGACGTAACTCTTGCATTAAGATAGAATGTGTTGGCTATCAAATATGTAGGGTGGATGCTTCAAAGATGGCATCTCTATGGGAATGATCCTCATTGAGATTGGGGTAGCTTGGGAAGGCTATTTTCAATAGAAGATTGGTTTCGTGAAGTCATCGAACTAATAATATGGGCTGTCGTGGACGTTAATTATAAAGAAAGTGGTGGAATATGATATAAATTGTATCCTACATTTTTAATGCTAAGACTTAGTGAATAACATTCATTTACAAGCTGATTTTAAGAGTGTGTTCTCTTCAACCAATATGGTTGTTACAATTTCAATAGAGTTTCATATTCCTAGAAATCAAAATTGTGAACCATGAAAATGGAGTTAGCTATTGCGTGGGATTGCAATGGTCTTCAGACTCTATATATGCAATTTGTTACTCGAGCTAAAGTATAATCGAAACATTGAGACTTACATAGTCCTGTGTTTATATTATGTCACTCTAATATGATATATAAACACTTTTTAGGGACTATTTTTAAAATATATAGCACCAAATACAACTCTCGTATTAAAGCACCAATAATGCTACTCGAACAGGGCAAATGACAAGGGGGTTAATAGGGTTGTGTGACAAGATGAGATTGGGTGGTGTATATTTTATATATTTTTTATGTATTAACACGTGTCTCATCTGTCATTGATTATGTTGTTGAGTCCGTCACTAAAGCATCCCTCTCCATCCCTACTTCACTTGCAACAAAATCTATTGTTTGATTTGGAGGATGAATGAGATAAAAAAATATTGTCCTAAACTCATAGGAACTACAAATCCCTAGAAATCAAAACCATGAACCATTAAAAGGGACTTAACTATAGTCATCGGAAGGTATGCCATTCATAGCAGTCACAATGATTTGATTTTTCATTCTAAATATGCATTTTTTTATTTTTTTTATTTTTATTTTTGCTTTGTGCTACAAAATAAAAGTTTGAGATTAAAATGCTCGGTTTCAAATATTGCATACCAAATTGTTAATAAGTGACTGTCAAAGTAAACGCAGAATTCAAGAAACGAAGTTCGTTAAGTTTCCCTCTCAAAGCTCAACACACACACTTCAACAAAATATATTGCAGAATCTTTATTTTGATCCAAATTTGCCAAGAAATTCCAAAACGTTCCGATGGCAAATTGCTTCTTTCTTTGCCTAGTCCTCGTGTTGACAATTATGGGCGCCACCACCGGCGTCCACCTCGTCTCCGCCGCAAACCCCCCTCCACCATCACCATTTCCATCTTCAACCCCACTTCCCCACCAACGTTTTCCACCCACCACTTATCTGCCAACATCTCCGCCGCCGCCGTTGCAACTGGCGGAGATTAAGAAACAACAGTTGAACAACATAATCGACGCACTAATAGGGGCCGGAGACTTTTCGGGATGGATCAATTTCCTCTCCAACACCAACCCATCATCTCTGTCATTCACCGCCACGTTCTTCGTTCCGAGCAACGACGCCATTTCTCAGTTCCCAACCGCCACCGCCTCCGGAATGAACTTCGACCCCTTTATTGTACCTTATCATATAGTCCCACAGCGCCTCTCTTTCTCCGATCTTCAACGGTTTTCCATCCTCACGCGCCTTCCCACTCTCTTCTCTTCGAAGTACATTGTCATCACCAACAATTCTCGATTCAATTTCACCGTCGATGACTCTCTAGTCACCCACCCAGATATTCTTGTGAACGCTGCTTTTTCAGTTCATGGAATAAAAAACGTTCTTGATTACAATGTATACGGCGGCAACGACAACGGCCTCTTTTCACCACCACCGCCGCCTCCAGACAATACAACAGCGCCGATCCTTGTACCACCACCGCCAAATGACACAAAACCAGCGGGAGAAACTATTCTTGACGTGAATTTTGGCGTGGCATGTTTCTGCGATGTGTTCGTCATCATTTTTTGGGTTGGTTTTGCTGTTTTTGCGTCCAAGATTCATTGAAATCCACATATATTGATTTGTTTGGTAGTCATAGTTAGAATTTGTATAAAGCAAAACGAGAATTTCTTGCTCTCTGTATAGGTTATAGGCTTCTCTGTTTCTTGATGGCTTCATTGATCTTGACAATGTACTTCTATTCTTTCAGTATCGAATGATTTGATTGAAATCTAACAAGTACAAGAAATTTAATTTTTTGTTTTTGTTTTTGTTTATCCTGCACAACGTGGTGGTGCGATCGCCCAATGCTGAGACACCACCTCGATGGTGTGTGGTGGGCCACCTACCAAGATGGCCTCCCTTATTGGACGGTTGCACTGTTTTCTACTGAAGTATTTCTCCAGCACAACATAACTTGTCATATTTTTCCGTTACATATACATCACAACTTATAGATTTGTTTACTAACAAATAATGTGGCCAAAATTGATTCTAGAAAAATCTCAACCAAATAAAAAAAAATTCTCATTTTCTTTTAACACCTCACCAATCTGCAAAAAGTTGGTAAATGATGATATACAACAAGCATTTTCCATTTTCCCATAAGCAAAATATGCAGAGAATTTACCCTATGTTGTGGTGAGTTGAACTCTGGCATGGCAATGTTCTAGTAATGTTCTTATACATCACAAAGTCTTTTGTTGATGGCAAACACAATTATTCAGTAGCATAACACCACAAATGACTCAGACTAAAATATCAACACTCCACACTTGTTTACTCATATAGTACAAAAAAAGTCCCAAGTCTAGAACTTTACAAGTAGAAATTTTGAACTTCAATACTTATCTTTGCCAATGATAAGAACAAGATATCTCTATATACCCGGTTGAAGCCAAGTTCTTGAAATAGCCATTTATTACTGAATAGTGCACTGGATGCAATCCATTCCGATAAAATTCCTATGTTGTAATTCCAACAACAACGTTGCTCACCTAACAAATTACAATTACGTCACACCGATTAATCTTCTGGGCTTTCAACAACAAAATAGTAAGAGAAACAACAAAAATACAGAAATGTGCAAACGAAAAAATTGGTGGGAGATGTGAAGTAACTCACCAGCTTGCCACTTTCATCGACGGTCATGGGATTCTGAACGACGACTGTTTGATTCTGAGTACGCGATGTAGCCTGCATCGGAAAGAGCAGTTCAAATCATTGAATGCCACATCAGGTTATTGCAAGTTCAGTGACTATATGATACAAAATCAACCAACTCACCGTAGAGGTAGCCAGATTTGATGCAGTTGAGTTTCCATCAGGTCTTTGCACAGGAATTGGGATTCTTGATTCACCCATCTGCAGGAAAATAAACAAGTTAGCAACAGCCTAAAAATGTTATATGATATTTCATGATTAGACTCAATAGTAATATTACACATTTTGCAGAATTTAAAAACTCAAGAGGATCACAAACAAGAGATCCTTAATGCAGTAGAAAGCAAACACTTTCTTTCTCATCTTTGTAGATCCCAGAGGAATAAATAGAGAAAGGAAAAGCAGCCGAGCAACCAGTCGAATCGATTTCGTCCGACAAAGAAATGATCATTCAGTATTTCCCTTTCTTTTGAAAGGGTATCAGACTCTTGATTGAATGCGCTATGCATGGGAGGAGATCAGCTAGTCTTTTTTGGAACCTTTTTTGGCTGATTGTATGGGTGATTAGGCAATCACACAAATTCTATGAAGCATTTACAAAAGACTTCAGAAAAGGAGAATAAAATAAATGGTGTCTGCCGTCAGGAATATATATTGAGCATTGCCATTTTGTGAGCTAGGGTATTATTGCATAAAGTAAACACCAAGGTACTAACATTGACAGCTGTGATGTACTGACAAACAGCACATTTAACTGACGGAGCTCCAGCTGGATACATCAGCATAGTTCGACAGTTTCCACAGTTTACATGAGCAACGTGATTAGATGCTGCAAATCCATCATTCAGCAGTTGATAGTTAATGACTCGAAGATAAGAGCATGCCTAAAGCCACTCAAGACAGGAACTATCCAATTATTAAACCAGGGTGAATATAATAGAGGATATTTCACAATCTGTAACTTCCAAAAACATTTTTAAAGAGCATATCAAACCAATTCTGAAAAGAGGAAAAGATTAACAATTTAGATAGATTGAGATTCGAGCATATGTAATAAAAATTCACTGTTAAAACTTTAGTACCAGGCACAAGGTTCACTGTTCGACAGCAGGAGCATCTGACACTGGTAGCCCCCCGTGCATGCATAAGTAAGGTACGACAACCTCTACATATCAGTTGAGCCATTTCCATTCCTGAAAGTTGTTGTAAAACTTAGGAAATATGTCCATGACCAGAAAAAGAACAAAATATGTAATAAACATGCAAGGATGTTAAACAAATGCTTGCTTGGAAATCAATGTGCCTCCAAGAAAACATAACTACTAGCATACATGATAGATTAAGACTGTACTCGCTCAAATGTTCTCAATCTTAGGTACTCCTATAGCAAACAGCATATTTGACTCATAAACTCGTGTAATATAGGAAAAAGGTCTTATATGCCAACCACTCTTGACCTGTTGATTCATTCACTATAGAAAAGAAATGCATCCTTTGTAAAGGTTCAAAGCAGAAACATGACTTAATTCATAGTAGCAACGTTAAGGAATATTTTGGATCCTTAAAACATACTTGACTATGCACAGAACTTGTTTACGACATCAGTGAAAGCTATGAAACTAAAGGGAAGATATATGGAATAACAATTACAAGCATTCTGCCGAGCTTCAAACGAGCTGGCTTGACTAGAAACAGAAGAAAACAAGGATAATAGAAAAATCTACAAATAAGGTGCAAAATAATGGCATGAAATCAAATACGAACGAAGTGCAGCTCCGACTGAGAACGATGTGCATCCAGAATTTATCAAGCCTGCAGGTAAATTCTCCGCCTAAATCTTCTAAAATATTCTCAACTTCTCACAAACGGTAACAAACAATCAACACATGAAAAAAAACCCAGGAAGACAGAACAAACTGAAGCAAAACCAAATCCACCAACACTCTGAACAAATAGAAAATCTCAAACTTCGACTTTAATCTGCATTTATCTTCTTACTTAACCTTGTCCATTCATGCAATGACTGACTGCAGAGAACACTAAAATTTGATAGCTCAGAATGTTCTTAACTTTCTGATGTAAAATAGCAGCACATCTGAAAAGAAGAAGTGACAATACCTGGTGGTGGAACAGCAGTAACTGCATTACACAATGCACAGCAAACATTTGTAGCTCCTCTGGGATAGAGGAGGACAGTCCTGCACCCACCGCACACTACTTGGCTCTGCATATCTGCAAACCCAAAATTTAGTACAGACAAATCATAAGAACAACTGAAACTCCCTATTCTTTTCCAATTGATTCACATCAAATTTCTACATTCAGGAATTTCACATGACCACAAAAGTAGGCCATATAGACCGTGTAAACAACATAAACCAAACATCTCAAATCCTCCAACGTTTCAAATTAATTCAATTCCGTAGTAATAAATGCACAAAAAACAACCTTTTACTATTTTTACCCATTAAACAAATCCAAATAAAACCCATGAAAATTATACGCACGACTGAAACAAGAACATATTAAATTCAATAAAGAAGATTCACCATTATTTTAAACCCACGCCAATACTGATTAGCCGTAAAAAAATCGTAAAACCAAAGCACTACAACTTTACAATTTTAAAAAATTCGCATAAAACCAATTACGAAATTTCAACCCCTGATAAATTGAAAAATTATCAAAAGGAGAATATCTTACCCTATGAAATTACTATTAACAGAATTTTGAGGGGATAAATGGAAATCGTATCTGTAGGTTACTGTAATTATTAAAAAAATACAAATGCTTTGATTTTTTTCCTATGTGGAATTGGGTTGGATTGGATTAAATTCGGGGATTATAAATGTTCACCTTCGGAAATTGCAAAAACGACAGGGTTTTGGCTTTTTCTAGGGGAAAAAAAATGTTCCAACTAAGAAAATACAATGGTTTGGAACTGTATTTGATTGATATTGAAAATATCGCATAAAAAAAATATTTTCCTTGTTGTGAGGAAAACAAAAACAACCTCCCCCAAAGAAAATATTTTTCTTAAAAAAAAATAAAAAAATTAGACATATCTTCAAAAATTGAAAAATATTTTCAACGAAAAAAATAACAATCGAACATCTAAAGTAGGAATTTGGATAGAAAATTGATATTTTTCATAGAAAATAAATATAATCAAACACACCCTTAGTGATGGCAATTCGAACCGTCAAAATCGAAAATCGCGGTTAATCGAACTGAACGAGACAAAAAAATCGAACCAATGCTACAATAGGATGAGTATAATATTTAATTTTAATGACCTGGTTCAAGGTGGGTATTTACGTTTCGACCCACCTCGAACCAATTCCCGTTATTATTACTACTATTTTTTATAAGTACTCGTTAAAAAAAATAATTGGGCAATTAAACTTTCCATCACTCTTTCTATGAATGAAGATTGTATATAAATTGAGGTCATAATTTTTGAGTTATTAAGTAAGAATCAAGTTTAATGCATAAGGATCAAGGGACAAGGATATTACTTATTATTGTTATGCTGATTATATTCTTTATTAAATTCGAATTTTGCATTTAGGAATTGGAATAATGTTTTTATTTTCATTTCGGATATTATTTGCTAATTTGACTTAGTATTGTATTTTTTGTGTATTTATGTGTTATATGAGAAATTGAGAATATGTCAAATGTGAACTGTGATATTAAAAACTAATTTGAGTATTGTGAAATGTAATTATGTGATTTGTGAAAATTGAAAATGAGAAATTAGGGAATTTTTAATTTGTAATAAATAGGTGTTGGGAATTGAAAATTGAAACTTTAATTATATTTTAAAATTAATTTTAATTCTAATACAGATTGTGGAATTATTTTTTCAACCGATGTCCCAACCTTGTTTTTGTAGTGGTGCATCTAATCCTGTGACTAATTCTAGTCGAGCAAACGATTTATTAAGCATTTATAACAAAAAAAAAAAGTCTCATGTATCATTTATTTTATATTACTTCGGATTGTATTGTACTATAACTTAATATAAATATACGATTTTTACATTTTAGTGTATTTACATATAAATATAATAATTTTTAATATTATTTAATTTGATATTAATAAATGACATTCGTTATACGGTTGTTGACTGTTGACGATCAACGATCGTCCTAACTAGGTTGAAATTCTGGATTTGCCCTGAATCGAGATGCAAATTAATTGATGGTTCATTGATGATTTTAGCCAAATCGACTCCAAACCGAACCATTGCCAATCTTAACTTCTTTCCTCTTTCAATTATTAGTTTATTACACATGACGCAACTCCTATTAATATATAATATATACTTTCTTCTTTTTCCTTCTTCTTTAAGTTTAATTTTCCTATCTATATAATTAGGATAATCAAAGTCCTTTAGCCTTTCAAATTGATAAAAAGTCATTGTTCAACTATAATTTATAAATTGTTTAAAAATGATCAAATCGATTTTATCTTCAAGGGTAATGAGCACAAAATGTCTATATTTTTTAATGTTATTGTATAAAACATCCATACTTTTATTTGTTGACATTTTCACCCTTATTTCAACCTTTCATTGTAGAAAACGTTATTTCATCATTTTTAATGTAAAATGCCTAAATACCCTCCAATTTAAATAAAATAAAATAAAAATAAAAAATAAAGTACAATTTTACTCCTAAATGTTTTAAAAAGTACAAGTGAGTCCAAATAATTATTAAAAGACCAGTAGTAAAAGTTATGTTTTGGCATTGTTTAGTTTCCACCATCAACTTCTAAAATAAGGAGACGAAGGATAGTTTTGAAAGTTTGCTTTTGGTGACTCTATTTTAAAAATCCCCATTGCCATCCTCGTAGGTTTTAAAGCTATGCAATGAAGGACGTTTTGGTGTAAAATCCTGTCTTTCGATTTCTATATACTTGCGTCAATAAGTTGATTATACTTTTAGTACAAACAGGGGCATTATTTAAATAATAAAATAATTAATTTCACGAAGCTAAGTGTCTACACTCCTCAGCGCGAGTGTTGGTACTACGATACTCATGAAGAAAATTTTGTGTGTTTTAGGTAGTTCTTTTCCATTTTTTTTTATCCATCTCTATATTAATCTAATGTAATAAAGACTACAAATAAGTAAATCGAGCACGTAACGTCATACTTGTTTGTTCGGGTAATTAGCACAAAACGTCCCTAACTCTTAATATTATTGTGTAAAACTTCCATACTTTTTTTATTTTTTTTTTTTTTTTTGTATTTTCATCCCTATTTTCACGTTTCATTACCAAAAACGTCATTTTCATCAATTGAAATGTAAGGACGTTTTGCACATTATAAGCCAAACGTAGGGACGTTTTGTCCTATTAAGCCTTTTAATAATATTTGAACTCACTTGCACCTTTTAGAACATTTAGGAGTAAGATTGTAATTTTATTTAGTTATTTATTTTATTTAAATTGGAGGGTATTTTGATAATTTTACATTAAAAAATGGTAAAAAATGACGTTTTCTACAATGAAACGTAGAAATAAGGGTGAAAATGTCAAAAAATAAAAAGTATAGACGTTTTGCATAATAATATTGAAAGGTATGGACATTTTGTACTAATTACCCTTCTCTTCAACTATCATGAAAAGAATAGTTATTAGACAGTGCTAAAGTTTGAGTAATTACAAAAATGATCAATGAAGTTATCTTTCTTGTGGTAATAATTACTTAAATTTCTAACTATTGCATTAATAGTTGCTAGGTCGAAAAATTAATATTAAGCCCCTCGTTTGGTAGGAAATTTTCACCCAAAAAAATAATTTTTTAATCGTTATTTCATTATTACAGTCATTATTTTTTATTTTTTCACTCTTAGGTAGAACACATTTTTCTCTTTAATTGTTGAAAAATTAATTCTCATAATCACCACCGAAAAGACCCTAAGTTCTACATGGCACATCAAGTGTCAATATGTTACTAAACGGGGTTATTTATTATGTCAAGTTAGCAAAATTGGGAACAATATTGAAGATTAAACACATTCAAATGAAAAAACATAACGCAAATTTGGTTTTGGTTTTTGGGCATAAATGAAAGTAGCATTAACATAATAAATGGTGCTATTTTTTTACCGAATAATTTTTAGTGTAATAAATAGAAGCTCGAGTGACAATTATCGCAAGAAAATAATCATTGACTTAAGTGACTCTTGCGGAATTTATAAATACTACTCGCTTATCCACTACTAATTCGAGTATATTTATAATTTAAATCATTTTTAAACAATACCCTAACATACTTTTCTGATTCTCCATTACGAAGAAAATCGTCTACACAAATTGAAATATAGATTCTCATCCAACCCTAAAAGATTAAGAAGCTAATTCCCCCACCCACAAAAAAAAAAAAATGAAATTTATTGTCTCAGTATATATTTTGCTGTGGGAGTGAGTGGTTAATCTTATTATCAAAGTGAATAAATGACTTATTTTAATAATACAACAAATGAGAAAAAAACTGCGTTGGAATTGTTAGCCATTACATTACATTACATGATTGAAAGAAAACATTGTCCTTCATTCCTAAGGAAAAGGTTTGTTCCATATTCTTTTGGTTCCATACCATGCAAGCACCCAATAAAGTTCTCCGAACCAAAACATTCTAAAAGAAAGATTCAAACCCATCTTTCAAAGCAATTTATCTACCTTCTCGACGCCTCTCACATGTTGATATGAACTCAAATTATTCGTATTGAAATATTAGAATAGATAATTATAGCATATAGGCTCGATGAACGAAGCCTTGACCTCTAAATTGAATTTTCGAGAAACTTAAAACTCCAAGAGCATAAAATAACAATTTCTTCCCCATTTTATTTTTTTTTCTCTCTTTAGATAAAGATACAAAATACATGAAAATGTCTACTAATTTTTAGATGATCGTTTCTAACTCACAAACACCTATTGACTAATTCCTACTAAAACAATTAATAAAATCCTAAAATTGCAAAATAATTAATAATTAAAATATATTTTCTAAAAACAATATTAAGATACATGTTGTAAATTAATTATCATTTGTGAATAATCAATGTACTCTTGCAGCCATAATTATAAATTGTAAATAAAAAAGTTTTAATTCTCAATAAAATATATACAGGTTTATTGACTTCTTTATTTTTTTTTTCTTCTTAGTTTATAACATATTATCAGCACGAAATTCTAATCATTTGAGTTAGCCAAACTCATTCTTCTTTCTGCTCGCGAATCTCTAACCAAGTTGAGCTAGGAAAAGTAAATGGGCATTACACCAAACCATACTTTAAATATTCAAAATTAAAGTTAGATTGGAAGTTTGATATTTCAAAAATCAGAATTTTTTTTAGATTAATTATTTAAAAAACATCTAATAACTTTTTATTGCACGTATATTAAAAATTGGAAACTGTATATTTTGTAAAATCTCCCTCCACGTTTATTCCATAAACTCTCTACACGTTCATTCATGTCTTCATATTCTGCGACTACCACCCCCGTTCATTCAAGCCCTAATATGCCACAACGAGATTGACGAACCCAAGAAAGCCAAATTAATCCAAGAGTTTAGAATTAATTAAAAAGAAAGTCGAACCAAAAAATCCAACAAGAACGACGCTTGAAAGACCCCTTGATCACGCAATCCAAGAATTAAATCCGGTTGTTTGAACGCCACAAGTTAACACTTGATAAGTTCGAAATTGTTCAATGAAGAACGATGAAGAGAAGACAATACGCTTCACTTTAATTCAATATCAAATATGTCAAAAGTTGTTACAATTGAATGAAAACTTCTATTTATACTAAACCTAAAAATTAGGTAAAAATCGTGCAAAA